CCTTAGTCCTCACCTACTAAGTAAATCTTAAAATTAAACCTCCTTTATTTAAACATATCACAAGACTAGCCACGCCCCAAATCAAAACAAATACTATAATGTCAAAAGTTACCAACTATACTTTATAACTTTGACACATCAGGTCAAAGATTGTATTTACAATCTAAGTTTTCTATGTTACAGACAACATGAGAGGGAGATCCCCTTTTCCTGCTAGATTAAAACATTTTTGGAAGCACTTTTTCTACTTCATTCTACGAAACATTAATCAAAATGGTTATTTACAAACAGAACAGGGCGAAAACAATAAAACAGGAATCTCCTCCTCTCACATTTTGTTTCGTAACCTACAAGTTCTCTTCTCTATTTTAAAACATTTTGCAATAAAAATATACACACAGTTCCTCTTACAAAAAAGAAAAGAAAAAAACAAAACAAAACAAAAAACGAAAAACAGCTGGAACTCCCAGGCAGTACTTAAGAGTATGAAGAACCATGTCCAAATTACAGTTCACAGCAGCTGATCAAGACAGGTCCCCTTTTGCAAAATGCCTCAGAATGTAAAAGCTGCTGAGTTCAAATCAGGTACAGAATCCCCTCAATCCTGTCACATATGTAGATCTAGGGTCCAGGTGTCAATTAAGTTAAAAAGACAACTGTAGGCAGGAAGGCCTAGCATATATTTATCTTGGATTACAACTTGCCTTGAAAGTTATGCATAAATTTGTCTTTAAATGTGAGTTTCAGTCAATTTTAAAAGTCTGCAGTCAGAAAAGTGAGCAGTGTTGGGAACAGATGACTAAGTTCCCTTTCAACACTATATTCTAAGATTCTGTTATTCAATGGTCATATTTTTTTTAAAAAGCATGATTATAAATCTGAAAGACTAAGTTAGGAAGATGAGATTTCTGTACCACTGCTTCACATTGGTTCAGTTTGTGAAAGGATGGAGAGAAATAAAGAGGAAATAAACCATCTTAAAACATACAAAGTATTTTCATGTTATCTCATTAAGTTTAAAAAAAATCAGTTTACAGATGCACAAATTGAAGAAGCACCATAGATTAATATCAAATGTAATAATACCTTTGTTACAGGGGAATTAGGGGCACAAGAAAAAGGAACAAATACTTTACAAATTAGTGTGATTGTTAAGATAGCTCTTTACAACTTGAGTGTCAGAGGTCCTCAATATGAAGATGCCCACCCCATCACAAGAACAGCAAGTTAACACTTTGTAAATTGTTATTTGTGTGGGAGTCAGAAAAAGTAGTAACTCATAAATTATACCAACTTGCATGAAACCTAAAAGTGAGGTGAGATTTCGACTTTCTCCCCAACTTTCTGCAGTAACCATCCCATTTAAATTTCAACTAAATAACAGAAGCACTGACAAGACTGCTATCAGAAAAACACGTTTATTTTAGCTATTTTTTAAAGAAAAATAGCTCATTCACATGCTAGAGACACAGAGTAAACATTTAGAATGAAGCCAATGAAAATGCCATCAAGAGAAAAAAAAATGAACTAGCGAGCCTCATACTGCTTCTTGGGCATCAAAAGATAACATGCAAAAATAAAGATCTTAATTCCCTACCTCCCTCTTTTTCAAAGTTTTGTAAGTGTCGTAATTCTTCACAGCTGTTTGTAATAAACGCTTGGTTAATTCAAATCTGTTCCTCTAATCCTCCTTCATGAAACAAACAGGATATTGGTCGATTATTATGGAACTGATATTCTGACTTTAGTTTTTAAGAGCATTTGAAAAAAGTTTTACAAACATGGCATATTTATCTCCTGTTGCCTCTATCAAGTTACTTACTGAAGTTTTCTCAAACTTTCCACACTATCTTAAGCTACCAGGCAGACTCCTAAACCTGGACCTAAATCTTCCTATCCAATTCTGTTTGCCAAAGATCACGTGCTCTCTGGCAAGCAAAATTCCTCTATTTCCACCTTGTTTCTGAGGAAGAAGTGGCCCCACGCTTGCCAAGTAGGTCCTCTCCATCTACCTTTACCTCCTTCTCCATTCCTTTCTTTTTCTACCTGTTTATATAGGCTCTCTCCTCTGAGTACACAAATACGTAAGATCAGAGGTCCCTGGTCCTAAAATTTGCCTCCTATCGGTTTAGCAGTGAGGGACAAAGGGTGTGGGGCTGAAAAGGATGAATCCATAACCTCTCTCTCACTATCTGAGTACTCTGTATTGCCTCACTTAAACTCTAAGTGTGCTCATCACCAAATCCCTCATTTTTTTCAGTCCTCACCCTACACTGTTCTCCAACTTCAGTCCCTCATTTGCACCTGCCTACCAAATATCTCACTTTCCTGCCTGGATCTCCAAGCCACCATGTCCAAAGACAAAACCCTTGCCTTTTCTTCCCTACTCCCCTAAATCTTTCAATTGTCCCATGTGTGCTCTCACCTTCTGGCCACCCAGTCTCAAAGTCTGGATGAGAGTGCCAAGGAAGGAGGAATCGATTCATTTGCTAGGAACCAGGATTCTACCTCAAATTTATCCCCTCTGTTCTATATCCACTTAACAGTACACCTCTCACCTAACTGCTACAACCCTTTCCTTGTGGTATCCTTACCTCAAGTTCTCAGTATACAATATTGCTAGAGAGATATTCCTTAAGTGCAAATTTTAATCAGCCTGGCATTCGAGGTACTCTTCATATCACTTCTCACACTGTAATATGCATGTGAATCACATAGTAACTTGTTAAAACAGATACTTATTCAGTGTGTCTGGGTGGTGCCTGATTCTGGATTTCTAATATGCTCCCAAGTGATGACCATGTGTAAGCTATAGTAAGCTATTATACTAGTGTAAGGCTATATATATACAATATGGCCCCAACCTATTTTTCTAGCTTCATCTTCACTCCTCCCTGCCCAGCTTACCCGCATATATGCCTGTATCTCTCACATACACACAGGTCTACACACACACACAGATGTACACAAACAAAATGTTCCCTTACATGTTTCCCAGATTCTGTGCCTCTTGCTGTTTTAAGTCCGTGTCTGCCCATTACAATTCTACCCACTTTTCAAGAACCAACTCATTCTGCCACAGCCTTTGCTAATAGTCTCACCTACCTTACTACCCCCTGTATTCCTCCACTGATACCACAAAAACCTTGAGACACTGACAGCACTTAATTTGCACTGCTTCTGCTCTGTAATGTCAGTATGGGTCTCCTCACTTAATCCTCACTGCTAGAGTCCATGCTCCTCCAGGAGGGCAGGGACTATCTGCCTACCCTCTGCAACCCCAGGGCATCATGAAGGCCTTTGTAAGTGCCAACAAGTACCAGTTACAGTGGATTTGTATCCTAAGAAAAAAGTAACATCTTACTTCGTGTAACTCACTTTGAGCAGGTGCTTTAGAAGTTTCTTTAAGATAAAACAAAACACTTCCAGAAAAGTTATTCATTAGCAAAATCTACGAAAATTTTGTGAAATATTTGCGGCTTTAAAAATATCTAGGGCCGGCCGAGTGGCGCGCTGGTTAAGAGCTGGTTTGGGATGCCAGCTCTGAGCAGCAAGGCCCTGGTTAGGATCCCACGAGGGCCAGTGACACTGCCCTCTACAGCTAAGATGCTGAACAACAGCTCGACCTGGAGCTGGGCTACCGTGAGTGGCCGGCAAAGGTGTAGGCTGCAGCCCCTACTGCAGTGTGCTGCCATAAGCTACCGTGTGTAGCCAGCAGCCAGCGTGAGCGGCCAGCAGCGGGCATGAGCTGCCAAGAGCCGCTGTGAGCGGCCGTCCAGAGGTCGGCGACCAATCTGCCTCACCCGGGAAGAGGCAATGACAATACCAACATGGGCCAGTGAAGCAACGTCCTCCACAACTAGACTGAAGAACAAAAGGACAGCAACTTGTCTGTTCCCCTTCCCCGATTCCCCAAAGCTGTTATCCTCCCCGAATTCCCCAATAAAATCTTTTTAAAAAAAATCTAAACATTCAAGGGGTGCCTAGAGAATTTTAGTACTTATTCTATTTATAGTAGTCTCCAGGTATAGATCAAGGTTCTGATACTTAACTGAAAATTAAATCTATTTGGTATGATATAGTAATTACATTATAAGCTTACAATACTTTTTAATCGACACCTATCCCCCCCAGGTGTGCTAAGATATCTGTCTGGAAAATACTTCACAGTTAAAATGTCTTACATTTGTGTCCAGGTTTTGAAAAGTGCTTGAAAACATGTATCTTGAAGTAACATTTTTAAGGAAGTTGGTTAACCAGCTCAACCAAGGCAGCCCTATATTAAATGTTTACATGGTGAAACCCTCTACATTATCAAAACTGCCAAAATTCAAGAACCTACCCATAGTTCTTAAACTTCAGTGTGTTCAAGAATTGTCTCGTGTACTTGTTAAACTTGTAGATTCCTGGTTCTTACCCAAAGAAAGTCTGATTCAGTCAGTGAATCTGGGGTGGGGACTAGAAAACCGTACAGTTAACGAGCATCCCCAGATGATTCTGATGCAGGCGTTCCGCAGATCTCAGAGAAATACTGACACTGACCCTGCTACAGGGTTGTGCTTAAAGGGAAATGTAGAAACCTCTTTGTCAAGTCCTTTCCCCAAACAGCTGTCACACCCGCACAGACAAGGAGAGATTCCCGAAAACAAAACGGGTGGGGGGAGAAGGGGAGGAAAGTTCATTGGACTATGAATAAAGCCTGAAAAAAAAAATCAAAGAGGGGCGTGATGTTTCTTTCCCACCTCTGCGCTCCATTCTGCGAGCATCCCCAAGACACCTTCCAGAATGCCGCTCTCACCCGGGAGCGGGGCGAGGCCCCTCAATGGCCCGAGAGAGGGGGAGGCAGCCCAGCGCTAAGCCCTCAGGTCACCAGATGTCCTCTGCCAACAAGAGGCCGCAGCCGAGAGGGAACCCCGGCCCCTCGATCCTCCGCGGCGCGCGCGTGTGAAAAAGTCGCCTCCTGGGGTCGGCGGCCCCGGCGCTCAGCCCGCGCCCCTCACCTGCCGCGCGGCCGCAGCTCGGCTTCTTTGTCGGGTTCCGGCTCATGCGGGTCCAGCTCGCTTGCAGCAGCCGGCAACGCCTCGGCGTCCTCAACCGTCACTTCAGCTGCAGTCGCCCGCACCCGCGCAGCCGAGGTGGGAGCGGCCGCGGCCCCCAGACCGAACGCAGCCTCCGCCGACGGTGCGGAGAGGTCGCGGGCGCGCCCCGCGGCCACCACGGCGAGCCCGAGCAGCAGCGGCAGCAGCAGCGCCCGCGCCAGCGGACCCAGTCGGGTGGAGCGCTCCATCAGCGGCCTGCACAGCGTGCGGGCATGGAGGTGCAGCCGCCGGCACCTGCCTCTCCGAGCCCCCGACCAAGGCGATGACGCGCTAGAGACGCAGCCACAGCACCGCCGACCGGGACAGCCAGCTGAGTATCTCCGGCCACGTCTTAGCTCAGCCTCCGCCACCGCCAGCGCCACCCGAGTGACAGCCTCCCTCCAACATCGCCCATTGAGCAAACTTTCCGCGTGTCTGCTCTCCTATTGGCTGTGGTCACCGCCACTCCGGGAACTTAGGTTGATCTTGTTGCAGAAGGTGGGCTTTCCCCGGTTGTCAACATTACGCCTGCCAATCAAATCGTATTGTCCTACCCCGAGGCCCGGCC